ATAACGTAGACGAGATCTAGGAAAATAAACAAGTATGTCAGATTTTGGGCTGCAATTTGTTGATCAACAATTGGTTGATTTTCTGGCAATTTATTGCGATAATCCTGTTATATGCACTTTTCTCGAGGCTTACTCATCTACAGTGCATAACTATGTGTTCTCTCCCTCACAATCAGTCGATTTTGCCGAATAAGTGGCTTATATAAGGTGAGGTGGCAATCCTTATATCGTTAACTATGACCATAAAAAGTTAATTGATAATCTAAATGTTGCGCGCGTAAATTAAGGATTGACGTATGCGCAAACTTTAAATTTAAAAATGGTAAGTCGTTATTTATGTTGCGTGTAAAAAAAAAAAAAAATAGTTTAAATTTTTACCTTTTTTAAACAGAGATTTTTTAAAAAAAAATTCTAGTTTTAAAATATATATTTCTGGTAATAAAAATTTTAAAAAAATATGCATTTTTTAAAACCATAGAAAAAGAGTTTCTATAATAGTTACTATGTATATACTTGAAATTAAACTTAATTAAAGAAAAAACATAATAAATATATTTAGAAAAATTAGATTTAAAAAAATGTTGTAATATATATTTAAAAGTTTACTCAACATTTCAATAATAATTATTATACAAAAAATTTTTAAAAATTTCTAAACTTTATGAAAAATTCCATATAAATCAAAACTTTCAAAATTTTCAATTTTATAAATATTTTTACATTATTGAAATATTTTTTTAAAATAATTGATAACAAAAAACATTTATTACTAGATTGAAATAAGTTAATTCTTTGATTTTAAAAAAAAAATCAATATAAATATATATCTATATCTATATATTAAATTATTTTGAATAAAACAAATATACTAATTAATACCTTGCTCTTTTGTCATAGTCAATTGTATTATCCGATTTGTTACTGTATAAGATAAACATGTAAAATTATATATCTTATTATGTCTTTTGTTATCCAATTAAAATAAGCAAAAAAATTTTATTTGCTTAAAAAATAATAAAAAGTTTCAAAAATAAAATAACTATCTTTTTTAAATCTTGAATCTCAAAAAAAAAAACAAAACTTTTAGGTAATAATGTTTTATTTCTAATTCTTTGGTTAGGCCCTGATATAGAACAGTTGTTTATATTTGACTGTTACAAAAAATGATATTTATGAGCTATATAGGAAGTGCTACTTTCATTCATGCGTGTTTAGATAATAATGGTTTATACAGAAATCTTTAGCAATCTATAAATCAATTTGCAAAGAACCTGGATCCAACTTATTTAAAGAAAATTTAATATACGTGAATTGTTTACTTTTAACAGAACATGTGCAACAAAATCGGAATTTCGAAATCGCCACAGCAAATGCCGATGTGGACTAAAGTTATGGTTCACATTCAATTTAAAGGAAGTAATGTTAGTTTTCAAAAAGTGTGTTTGCAGTATGCAGATTTTAGTAAAACTAATAAGACAAGCGTGCAATTCAGAGAGCTACCTTTTTTAGGTCTTAAAGACAAATGGTTTTGCTGCTATTTCCAAATGAACGTTTTTTTTGCTATTGTTGGTGAAAAGAAAGAAATTTATCTTTATTATGTTGAAACGTTTGAATATATACATATCTTTGAAGGATATACAGTACTAATGACATTTATAATATAACCTTCTCACCGAATGGCACCAAACTAGCATCGGGTAGTAGAGATCGTACAGTGTGGCTGTGGTCTCTAGAGAGTTTATATCAGAATGCACGCATTTTAGAAGGGCATGTTGCTTGGGTTAGAAATGTGACCTTCTCACCGGATGGCACCCAACTAGCATTAAGCAGCAATGACGGAACGGTGCGGTTGTTGTCTCTCGAGACTTTAGATCTGAATCCATACATATACTAATGATATTTGGAGTGTGGCCTTCTCACCTGTGGTTTCTCAAGAATTTAGATCAGAACCCACGCATTCTAGAATATCCTTATCATGCTACCAGTGTAGCCTTCTCACCTGATGACACCCAACTAGCATCGGCCAGCTTGAGCAGTACGGTACATCTGTGGTCTCTCGAGAATTTAGATCAGAATAGAAGAACATACCCGGTATGTTAATAGTGTGACCTTCTCACCCAACTGGCATCGGGAAGTTATGACCACTGTAAAGTCATTATACATCCTCCTGGAGAGGTCTGTGATCTTGATTGGAAGAACACAAGAGCGGGAACCCTTCTATTAACAGGGTTCTAAAGGTTTTATCCGATTGTGACATGTAAAAAGAATAAATAATCAAACGTCGCAAGTTGCTTTTTGCGTCAAAATATGTTATGGACTTATAAATATACATTTAAAACGCGAAGGGTTTTAAGTTCAATGAATATATGCCTCTTAAAGTAAAGAGGTGCCATCGAAGACTCGGAAGTTTAACGAAAATGTTCAAGCTTAATAAAGATGGAATATTTGAACGTAATTTTTGACTTACAAAAATACTGTTGTGATGTTAAATCTTCATATTTTAATTCCGCCAACCAATGTGTTCAAAACTTCATTGTATAAAGGAGAAATTCCTCGTAACTAACAGTATTTTATTCTTTAAAGTACTTTTTACATGCCGCCGCAGAATCCGCTGGACACTAATACAGTACCACCTTTTTATAAATAATAATAATAATAATGCAGCAGGCCGTTTACGTTATTATTACAATAGCATTAGATTATGCTCACTCTCAGAATTTTTACATATAAATAGAAATAAGCTAACGAATAAAGTTTTAAAGGCGAAAAATCAAACATTTTACTTGAGGAGTATTAAAACCTTAGTGGGAGGGGAGAAAATAGTGTTTTTTTATAGTACAGAGTAACCAATCAAGAGTAAAATCAATAAACCATTAAACATCTTTGCAATGTTCATTAGGTCACAAAGTGTCGATATATTGGATATTTTATTATTGAACTTCTTGCATTCTTGCATCAGGCAGTCTCCTCCATTAGTTACTTTCCAATAAAAGCACTGAGGTCTATGATATGTGATAGTATGTGATCCTAGTACTGTATTCTGTTTCAAATGTGTGATCTTTGTTTTCTAATATTCTTATGCTTAGTTTTATAAAGGTGCAATTTAAATAATATAGGTTAATGTTGTTCAAATTACTGCGTAAGACTTTCTGATAACTCTTCGATTAAACGCGATGTTACCATCGGTCTTGTTGGTCAGTATCTTCGCAAAACGAGACCACTGAACAATATTATAAGTTATTGGCATTTTAATATAACTTAAACACATTATTTTTAATATCTAAAGAATTAAACGTTCGTTTCGTATTTAATTTATAATTCATAATAAAATTTATTTGATGACCGATTACTTGAAAGATATGCAGTAAAACGACAAAAATAATAAATAAATACCCAGGGAAATAAGAAAATATATTTATCCATATACAAAAAAAAAAATAATAATAAATAAATAAATTAACTTTCTTCGAGCGAATGTATGATTTGGGGGCTCCGTACAAAAGATCACAATTATACCTTTGAATTCGCGCACCCTATCCCGATTTAGCCTCCCTTTCCTCTAAAAAAAAAAAATAAAGTGGAATTAAAATTATTCGACTTTTTTCGCAATGTATAAACAGAGGTCATCAAGAGATGTTTCCAACTAGAAGCAGTTGATTAGATTCATTTCGATGGTACTGTAATAACTACTAGTGATGGTGGTGGTGGGTTGTTTAGCTAAATTTACAGGCCGTGATGCTGGTCTTTCGAGGACCCTTGTAATATATCCTCTTCTAGTCACGACAAAACTTGGATAACGTTGATATACATCACTGGCCCTATTAATGTTATCTCAAAAAACAGTGGTCTCTCATGCATCTCAAAAGAAACATAACCGACTCTCTTGCAGAATCAGTGGACATCATGGGGCTCGACAAAATAAAATGAAATGTGAAAATAATAAGTCGCGTTAAATAATAGAATCAAAAACAAACTAAGTTGTAACATTTTGACTTTTTCGCAACGCATAAACAAGGTACCAAGGTTGTATGCCGACTAACAATTAAAAATTGCAGTCACGACGAACCTGGAAATACAAAGCTATCACGTCGCTCGCCCATATTTCAGTAGACACTATAGACTCGACGAAATAAAAAAAGTGTTATAAAGAAAGGGATTTCTTTTTTCATTACAAAGAGTGTTTTAAAAAGAAAGAGTGTTTTAAAAAGGAAGAGACTAAAAAGAAAATGAATGATGCCAAGGATTTTTTAGCCGTAAAGAGGAAAGGTATGTAGGTTTGTTTTTTAGAAGCACCGAAACCCACCTATTTTATATTAGGGATAAAAGTTCTGCACGTTACCTTGTGGGAAGATTTCACCCGCTGCGTACACGCGTAGTGATCTTACATACACGTGTTAAATGTATAGACTATCTATCTGCCTTTTTTATCATATCGTGGAATCTAGAGAAAAAATTTTTTTTCCTATTGTTAATTACCAAATGATACTTTGTCTCCTAAAAGTACGTGATAATAGTTAGTCTTAAAGGGCTAATGCCTTCCTAATAATTTATTTTATCCTGTAGGGACATGAATAAATTCTGAAAAAATAATTGAAAGAATTAGTTGATTTGTATTATTAGTTGTTAGGTTTGTTATTTTTTTTGTATATAATATGTCAAGAAAATTTTTTTCTATAATCTTTTCTTGATTCCTAGATATTCATATTTGTGTATATAGTAATTCAAGTGAGATTATTTTTATTTGTTTTTTGTTTTTTTTTTATTTTTTTTTTTTGAAGGAGCAATTGGCTATTGCACTATTGTTTATTATTATAATTTTAGACTTGCGGGTTACAAGATTTACAATATGGAAAGCATGACATACATCTTTCTTTGCTAGGAAGAGTTAAATGCAGGACCTGTAAAGGCCACCCCTATGCTTCTTGGCACCATTCAAGGAATACAGTAAAAAAGAATATTTAAAACCTATATTATGACCTTAAATGGTGTTTAGCTACCTAGAAATTAAATTGAATGCCTAATCATATGAAGGCACTGCAGCCACTTTATACAGGTTTGCCTCCAAGTCATGAGTAGGACTGGCACACTTGCTTTTCAAATGTGGCTTGATGTTCGGCAAGCAGAGTAGTGTCGAGAGATTTTTGTTTGTGATTACTTTTTTATATGAAGGCATTGCAGCCACTTTATACAGGT